ATGTCCTTGAGTTCATCGTCAAATTTGTCCAGGCTAGCTGCGGCCATGCCGAACAATTCCACTGTCCATCCGTCTTCCCGAAGCTTGTCTGCAAATGTAGCTTGTACACCTGCCTCCAAAAGGAGGTCATAAAGTGAAGCCATCAAGTGTCCCACCAATGATGGACAGCGAAGATTCTAAATGGTTGGAGCAAACAAAATTGGTGAATCTCATGAACCCACCTGGAGTTGATAGTGATAACATGTATACACATGCACTGGGTAATGGTATATATAAGTCATGCAAAGAATATGAAACTGAGAAACGATGAAACTGTAGAGAAAATTTAAGTTCGTACAAGTGCAGATGTATTGGGGTCATTACTGTGCGACATGGATATATGTCATGTGCTCAAACGCACATGCAGTCTGAAGCCGATACCCAGCCATGCAATGGATGTGAAATTGCCTGCCCAGGCCAGATGGTGCTCACGGCACACGCCAAAGTCAGTGCACGACTGAACCATTGTGAAAATGCCCAAAAAAAAATCGTTTGACGCCAATGTCAGTTATGCCAACTACGTTTCAGACATGATGATGAATTGAATACCTGCTTAATCATGGTGCACTGGAGGAAATCCCCAACCCAAGGAGGAAAATTTCCCTGAAGGAAAACCCAAAGGAACAATACTCTGTGGTTTCCAATATAGTCTATGATGTCATGTAGAATCGGGTATGGCAAGTAAAATCAAAATGCAAATCATCTGAAGCATCAAAGAGTGGACCTGCAGTGCAACCCTTTTGTTTTCGATCACGAAAGCTGCTGCATGGGAGTGATTAATCTGAAACGCTGAGGCTGCTGAAGCCCTTGCGACAGCCAACATGGCTGCATAACGCCTGTCCAGTCTCCAGCTGAACATTGGTTCCCAATTGAATGCGGGAATCCGGGAAGCTTCGACCACACGCAGTTTTCATGGCAAAACCTTGCCATATGGGTAGGTGTTCACTGTCCGACTGGGATGCCATCATCATGTGCCATGTTTTGCGGTGCAACCCGACCACACATTCGTCTGCATGACCCATCGGATCTGGATGCTTGGTTTTCTGAGTTTTGGACGGTCGTGTCACCTCCACTGAATCGGAGCTATCCGAAGAGCTGTCAGAGGAAGAGTCTGTGTCAGATTCTCCCTCAATTGGTGTTGCAACATTGCTCGGATGCATTGAATCAGCCAATAACTGCAGACTGGAATGCTTGGAAAATGAAAAGAATCTCCATTGCATTGATGTCACTGACTTTTTAAATTTCTCAATAGAACAATCAGGTTCCAGCAAGGGAGCCTGGCCTCCCCTGCCCAAGGGTGTTGACGGGCGCCAACCTTGAGATATCTTTTCAATCAAGGCCTGCTGAAGGCGGAGACTGCCAATGATGTCATCTCGTGAGTATAACTGGACGCTCATCTGAGCTGCCTTGTGCTTGCCATGCATGCGACGGTCCTCGGGCGACAAATCTGCCTGTGCCGCCCAAGATAGCAGCGTCGCCTTGAGGCCGTGGACCGTATAGCTCGTTGGGTCGACCTGCAACGAGAGCGAACTTTGACTCCATGGAAGTTGCATGAAATACCGCACATGGTATAAAGCTTCTGCATAAGTCATGGCATCAGCAGGAATCACCGGGGTATCCTGGTCCTGAAATGCCGGCCGGGATTGCAAAGTCGATAGATTCGGCTGGTTGGTCAGCGTAGACATGGTCCAATGCCTGCAAGTATCGGTGAACCCAGGTAAAGTTTCCTTGGGATAAAAGTCCCGTTAAAACCACACCGAAAGGTGTTGATGTATTACAAGTCTTCGCTCTCCAAGTCAATCCTCTCAAGGATCGTTCATCAAGGAACCACGTGGTCAGTGAAGTCCTTTGCATGTCGCTGAATCTCAATCCTGACCAGCAAAGAAGTAAGAAACCGCCCAAAATGATAATTTCCTTGATCGTGGCCTGAGCCTGTAATACCCGCCTTTCCCATTTCATCAGTATGAAAAGAGGGAAAGGCAAACTTTCTTTTCTGTCTGTGGGAAGTTTCTGGCGTTCAAAGGAACTAATCAGTGATCCAAAGGCGGATGCAAATTGCTGAATACCCAGTTGTTTACAGCACCATCTCAAAGCTTTGATGGTGATCGAGCATTTGGGCCCTGACCCATCTGAACGTCTGGCAAGAGACCCGCAAATCAATAAGTCAGCTAACTGAGCTTCGGTTAGATCAGCTATGGTGACATGCATCACTCGACATAACTGTACAAATTGCAAAACTGAGGTCATGTACCGCACCAAGGTCGTGGCTGCGTATTGATTCAGAAATCTCTCAGCATGTTCGTCCATGTACTGACTCTGTGCCATCTGCTGCAATACCGTAGAATAAATGTGCAAAACTGAGAAAAACTGACTCCACAGTTTCAAAACGATCGGGGACTTCGAAGCGATTCGAACACGTGTCAAATTCGACCCTGCCTGCGATGGTCGATGGGTTGTATTGGAAGGCTGCTTGGGTTGCAAAGGAAAAAGGGAATCATCGAAAACTGTCGCAGCAGCTGAATGCAATGCTTCTGGAATGTCTGCATTGTCGGATGCATCTGGCAACAAACTTGTTGGGGGCGGATGTGAAAATGCTGGTGCTAAAAGTCCCACATGATCCACTGTATGTTCCCCATATTCAGGAAATGGTAATGACTCCACACTGGAATGCTTTGATGTGGGCCTAGCCAGACCTGAGACCACAGTTGAGGGCCTCACAGTTTCGACTGTTGCTGCGCAGGATGAACTCGACATGGAATGCAAATCTGTCACCTGAAAGGGGGAACGAATGCGTGGTGCTGAAACACGACTCAAAATCGATGGTAATGGAAGTGCTTTGGGACTAGGTTGAAAACTCTCTGCACCAACAACGCTGGATACATCGTCAGAGGCCAAAAACAACTCCCAGGAATCATCCATCTGAATCTTCCAGTGAAGCGATCGATGGTGTGTCAACCTCTCGAAAAATCAATGTATGCCGCAAAAAGAATCTTGAAGTCAATGCAAATGCCGTTGTATCCACGGTGAAATTGGTTTGATCGTCAGCCAAAAATAAAATGATTTGAGTAAACAGATGTCGATTCAAAGGCGAGACCAGGACTGCATAGCAGCGTTCTGAGATCCCGATGGGTCCGCGATGCACTACCAAAGTGCGATGCATGCCATTGCCGGAAATCTGTCGGAGGAAACCGTGCAATTAATGCCAAACACAAAATGTGATTGAAATAAATGACAAAATTCCACAAGCCGACTATGTTGAGTTGTTAGACGACCAAACCACAAGATAAAACCTGCACAAAACGCAAACGCAACTGAAATGGGCCATGAGTGACCAAAAAGTTTTAAAGCACATACGCATTTGCATAATGCAATGAATGCCACCTTGAGCCAAAATGTTTAGGGGATATTATATATATAATGAAGTACCCCACTAAACATAACTGAACAAGTACAGTTGACGTGTTACACAATGGGGTTCCATGGAGGTCTGTGGCAGGTAAAAGCACATCCAACCGAAAACTTTTCAAATTTCCATTGAAAGTTTTCTTGGGCCATTCTAGGAGCTATGTTGGGCCCTTGGGGCCATGTTAGGGCCATGCTGGGGCCATGTTGGCCATGTTGGGACCATGTTGGGGCCATGTTGGGGCCAAGCCTTGGCCATATTGGGGCCATGTTGGGGCCATGTTGAGCTTAAGAGCGGCGTGTTCCTTTTGGGTCATGACCAGCCCGAAAAGGAACACGCCGGTTTTGGGTCATGTTGGGGGCCATGTTGGGCCATGCTGGGGTCATGTTGGCCATGTTGGGGCCATGTTAGGGCCAAACCTTGGCCATGCTGGGGTCATGTTGAGCTTGTGTTCTGCCAAGAACAGCGTGTTCCTTTGGGGCATGACCAGCCCCAAAAGGAACACGCCAGTTTTGGGTCATGGTGGGCTTGCGTTGGGTCATTTGATGTGCTGTATGGGGTTCCCTGGAGGTGCTGCGCAATTTCCTTTGAAAGGGGTCCTCACTGTGAAATAATGAACCCATTGACCCCGAGGACCCCTTTCAAGGGAAATTTGGTTATTCTTTTAAGGTTTGATACCTCAAGGCTTACAAGAACACACCATTATTGGCCGAGCCTAACAGGTTCAATTAGTAAATTTCCTGTTGGTTTGGCCCCCACGCACGGACCCCACGAAGTCTTGGAAAACCCACGGTTTTGGACCCTGGGCACATGACTTGGGGGGGTCCGTTTTGGAGGCCCCACCAGAAGGAAATTTGGCAGGTTCAAAATAGGTTCCAAAAGCCACTTCAACGCATGTCTTCTTTGGTACAAAGATGATTGCCTTTCTCTTGGACCCATGGAATCTTTGCAAAAAACTTGGTTGCAACGATAGTGGAACAAAGCTGTCCGTTAGACCTGTTGTTTCTTGCTAGCAATAAACTTAGCAATCAGATATCATATATAGGCAAATGTCCGCCAAGCGCATTCTGGAGGACTAATATTTGAATTCTATAACTATGTATTTGCACATCCCATAACGTTAGCTCACTGAAATTATGTAAAGATTTTTTCGCTTTCTGTTTAGCATAATAGCTCCCACAAATTCTCAACATAGCACCCAAATAGTGTCCACATTGCATGGCAAGCGCTGAAAAACAACCCATGTACATATATAACAATATGTTTTGTGATATATAAATACATAAAGCAATAAGCTGTTTCCACATACTACAATAAGAAGTATGTACATATATATTATATATATATCTCTATCAAATAAACTAAATTATTCTATTTATACATACGTTTAGAACATTCAAGAATAACAAGGCACAACAAATAGATGCACAAATAACACAGTGGTATATTATTTGATATTATATTGTTATCGATATATTGTAAATACATGGGGCTTTAGAATCTAATCTACCGATATTACAAGGCCTACACCTTAATTTAATGTTTTCCTGCCACCGAGGAAGACCTTCCTTCATGGGGCTTGCCTTGAAAACCACCTGCGTGGAATCACAGGCCCTGGCGCCCCACATACCTTTGCATTGGACCGACGTGGCACGTTGCCAGGCTTGGCCGCGGACTTTTAATTTTATGTGCTGTGGGCTTCGGGTTGCATGTGCTATGAAGTTTTCAGAGGATTCAAAATGATTAATTCGGCTTGAAATCAACATTCATACATAGTATGTAACAGTTTGCTACGCCCCGTTGCTGTGAGACTAAGTTTCGATGTGAAACTTTAAAAATTTAGACTCAGGCCATGTCAGTTTTTCAAGCAGCGTCTTGTGAGGAGATGTTGCTGCTGCGGTGGTTTGTCCCGCTTTCTGGCTGCCGTACCAATGGGAGCCACATCCGGATGACGTGATCCTACGGACTGACACCTCTGGTACATATTGGTATCTCGCAAAAACAATATTGTGTAATGACATGCTCACAGTGTGAGTGAAACTGGGTGGACTCTCCTGGCTTTTCTTTTGCCTGTCAATTTCCATTTTCTTTGCGTGTGTTAATACACCTTCTTGGCAACATAGCGGCAGGACGAAGGTCAACATGAGCGATGAGACTTTTGGCACGCCGCTTCTCTATTTGCCAGCTGCTGTGTCGCAATCAATCGCCTGCAACGATCCCCTTCCACGAGGCACCCCTTTTACATTGTTTGTCATGTTAATGGGAAGGCCTGATTCGAGATTTCAGTTGTTTTTTTGCACGCTGTGTGATCTGATTTTTGTTTGCCCAGCCATCACTGGGTTGCCAGTTGCAAATGATGATCGAGACCGTGATGAGAAACTGCATGACAACTTTGCGAAGCTCGCATCAGTTTTGCGTGCCTTGATCTGGTTTGTGCAAAGAAAAAATTGCATGCTGATGGGTGTTTTTTTCTTTGTTCTTACTCTGAAGTTTGGGTATGTATTTTCTTCAGGTGAAGAACCATTTGCCATGGTGGAAGCAGCAGAACATCTAGAGAAACTGGCTGAGGGGACTGTCCCCCGACACGGGTACATGGAGATTGACAGGCAAGGCTAGCGGTTTAGTTGAACGTGTCAAAGATTTTTTTCACCTTCCTTCTTACCAGTCAGTGTGCAGATACTGTGCTAGCGGGCCATTGGCAGGTGTATTCCATCACCCGGTCCATCAGTTGGCCCTGGATTTGATGCCATTGGCGGACAAGTTGCCATGAGGTTGGATCCCGTTCCTTGAACAAATTCTTGTTTCAGCGCACTTTGCAAATGGATCAGTTGTGGACATTCCGTCCTTTTGCTATTGATCATGCATTCAAGGTTCCAAACCAAGTGATGATGCACCGTGAGCGCCTGAATGCGAAGCATTTGTTCAAGTTTAAATGCCAGCGGCGCAATTTTTTTTTGCACAGGGCAGCTGCTCAAATTTGGGCCCGTGGCATCCCTTGGGAGAATGCCATCGCAATGGTGCAAAATGCTTTTGATGCTACGACTCAAGTTGAGGATGACAACCCATGATTGAGAGCGATAGTTTCGACAATAAACTTTGACCTTTCACACTGGCAGGTATCCAGGAATGAAATTTTAATCCGTGGTTGTTGTCGCCAAGCCACTGAATTATGTTTTTGTATGGGGTAGGTTCATCACGTTTCACAGCCCTTGGAGGGGGCACGATATTGTGATGAACCAGGCTGGCATTCATCACAAACACCCATGTTTCAAACCCAAAAAAAGAAGTTTTCAACACAAAAGGTTTCAAACTTTGATTTTGGACCCCAAGTGGTAGTTTTTGAGATGAATGCCATCAAGATTCATCAGAATCTCGAGTGGCTGAGCCGGGATTCAATTTGTGTTTCAAATGTTGCCAGAAATTATCAGGTGCAGCACGGACCCTTAGTAACATCTATAGTTTGATTGTTTGGTTGATTGCCACCTTTTTCCTTGACAGCAATGTCGAGGTGGCATTTCAAAATGTGATGAATGTTGCTGGTTTTCATCACAAAATCTTAGTTGGCCTGACTGCCTGGACACGATATTTTTCTGATGAGCACTCAATCTACTTTACTACTAGTGCGTCATCACAAAAAAGTCAGGGATCAATTCAAAAAAAATGGGAGGTCAAATTTCAAATTGTGATGAATGTTGCTGGTTTTCATCACAAAATCTTGGTTGGCCTCACTGCCTGGACACGATATTTTTCTGATGAGCACCCAATCTACTTTACTACTAGTGCGTCATCACAAAAAAGTCAGGGATCAATTCAAAAAAAATGGGAGGTCAAATTTCAAAATGTGATGAATGTTGCTGGTTTTCATCACAAAATCTTGGTTGGCCTCACTGCCTGGACACGATATTTTTCTGATGAGCACCCAATCTACTTTACTACTAGTGCGTCATCACAAAAAAGTCAGGGATCAATTCAAAAAAAATGGGAGGTCAAATTTCAAAATGTGATGAATGTTGCTGGTTTTCATCACAAAATCTTGGTTGGCCTCACTGCCTGGACACGATATTTTTCTGATGAGCACCCAATCTACTTTACTACTAGTGCGTCATCACAAAAAAGTCAGGGATCAATTCAAAAAAAATGGGAGGTCAAATTTCAAAATGTGATGAATGTTGCTGGTTTTCATCACAAAATCTTGGTTGGCCTCACTGCCTGGACACGTTATTTTTTTGTGATGAGAGCAGCTAGTCTACTACACAAAAAGCACATCGTCAGAAAAAAAAATCCAAGACTTGGATTGAAAAAAACCATAGGGTGTGGCATGGACACCACATGAATATAGTTTTGTTGGTTCAGTTGCTTTCCATCGTGTAGAGATAAAATTTCAAAATGTAGTGAAAGTTGACGTTTCCAACCAAAAAAAAAGGTTGGTTTACAGCTTTGTTGTTTTTTTTGCTCCGGCGGCAATGTAGAGGTAAAAAATCAAACTCTTATCCAACTGGAAGCTTTTCATCACACGTTTTTTTTGGGTTGGATTTGACTCGCTGAAGCGACTACTTTTTTCTGATGAGCAGCTCTTTTGACAAATTTGGCAAGCCACCGCGCAAAAAACAATACTAAAGTAAAAAAAATTGGGTGCGGCATGGACACCTAGGGGCATCTAGTTTTGTTGGTTTAGTTAATTTCTATTTTTTTGCTCTGGAGGCAATGTAGAGGTAAAATTTCAAAATGTGATGAAAGTGGACGCTTTTCATCACAAAAAAATTGTGTGGTTTGACTGGCTGAAGCGACTACTTTTTTCTGATGAGCAGCTCTTTAGACAAATTTGGCAAGCCACCGCGCAAAAAACAATACTAAAGTCAAAAAAAATTGGGTGCGGCATGGACACCTAGGGGCATCTAGTTTTGTTGGTTAAGTTAATTTCTATTTTTTTTGCTCTGGAGGTAATGTAGAGGTAAAATTTCAAAATGTGATGAAAGTGGACGCTTTTCATCACAAAAAAATGTGTGGTTTGACTGGCTGAAGCGACTACTTTTTTCTGATGAGCAGCTCTTTTGACAAATTTGGCAAGCCACCGCGCAAAAAACAATACTAAAGTCAAAAAAAATTGGGTGCGGCATGGACACCTAGGGGCATCTAGGTTTGTTGGTTTAGTTAATTTCTATTTTTTTTGCCCTGGAGGCAATGTAGAGGTAAAATTTCAAAATGTGATGAAAGTGGACGCTTTTCATCACAAAAAAATTGTGTGGTTTGACTAGCTGAAGCGATTGTTTTTTTTCTGATGAGCAGCTCTTTTGACAAATTTGGCAAGCCACCGCGCAAAAAACAATTCTAAAAACATCTAAAAACAATCAAATAATAAGTGGCATATAATTTTGTTGGTTCATGTGTTCTTTTGCGTTGGAGGTGTAGGTACATTTTCAACATTGATGAAAGTCAATGCGTTTCATCAAAAAGAATTGGTTGTTTTCACCTGCTGGAGCGAGTGCTTTTTCTGATAAGCAGCTGGTCTACTGTACCGTACAAAATGGCAAGCCTATTATGTGCAAAAAAAAATCAGCACCTACTAGTAAGTTGATTTCCATTTTCTGATGAACCGGTCAGTCCACTGCACCAACGTTTTTTTCTGGTGAGGTGGCGCTCAGCCATTGCAGTAGGGAGTTGCCTAAAACAATTGACGGCTTGGATGCCCAATGTTCTTGATGGGGCAGCGTGCAACAAACAGTGCAAGTAGGGGGCCGTCACGCAACAGCTTTATATAATGTTTGGGAGCCCCAGAAGCCCGAATTCTGAGGAAATTGTGGCAACATTCTGGTTGAATTAGCAGCTGGAATCTAATCTTGTTTGGCAGCATGCAGGGCAAAGCCGTTGCAAGAGTTCTTCGGCTTGGAGCAAACTTGAAGCAACCGCCAAAAAAGAGTTCGTTCAGAGATTGCGCACAACATGTCATTGATCGGAAACCATTGAGATTTACATCCAGCATGCCAGGTTCTCCGAACATCGCTTGAGCACAATCAGTCTGAAGTTGTGTTTAGCGAACGCATGGCATATGTACCCGCCACCATGCAGAAATTCAAGTGCACAGCTGTGGAACTTCCTTTAGATCTGGTGCTGACGATTTGATTGCAACGAGCACAAAAGAAGAAATTGCATTCCGGTCCAGCTTGTAGCACGTTGACTGCTAGTTGCTGGCAGCCTTAAATGGTTTGAACTGGTCGGATTGGTTTGAAGTTATAGGTGATTTGAAAAAACCTAGATTTTTTTGAGGCAGTGTTTGGAGGCTCGAAGCGCCCTCCGCATTGTGTTGGAGCTGGAGCCCTTAGTTTTCCCATCCCATGGGGGGGAAGCGGAAGGTGTCTGTGAGTGGAAGTGAAAGCCAGCCGGTGAAGAAGGTGAAGGAGGAAGACTTGGATCTTGACTCGCAATTTCCTGGTCCCAGAGTCTTCACAAAGCTTCTGTGCCTTGCCTTGACTGTTTGAGTGTGCGTTATTTCCGGAGGCTTCAGCCACCGTTTCACTTGCACAACCCACAAGATGTCAAACTCCCCCAGGAATCAGACCATCGAAGAGCATGGCTCAGTCGATGCCTACTTCAAGAACACCCTTGGGACAAAGGATTGGTCGAGAGATGTCGAGAGTTATGTTGCTGACACTTCATTCAGTTCTGACTTTGAACATCCAATTTTGCCAGGAGCGAGTTCTGCAGTTCTTGACCTGGCAGGAAGAAACGTTCCCTGCCGATCCTTCCGTGCACGCACCCCAGAACTTTACAAAGAGGAATGGTGCAATATGGTGTAATGGCAAGTCGGAATCGCTTACTCATTGCTTAAAAGTCTCTTTGTTCCAAGGACCTATGCAGATGCAAATTCCTTGGGCAGGGATGAACATGTCTTGCTGCGACCATGGATGCTTCCATTTTCCCCGCAGTGTGGATTGAAAGGGGTTGTTGAAGAAGACTTTTGGCAACATTTCTTTTTTAAAGCTGTCTCATCGTGACCCAATGAGTTGTCACATTCACCAGCTTGCATGAGTTGTCACGTCACAATCCAGCCAGTGCCTGATTGGCCAACTGATTTGCTTGAACGGTTTTGCCACGGATGCGAATGAACCAGGAGTGGAACGGCTGGTCATTACAAAGACTCGTCCTGATGCTGGTCTGTCGCCAGAATATGAGCTTCAGGCATCAGAGATAGATGCTGAACTTCGGAGCTTTCTCAACCCGCACCAGCTCCTTTTCGTGAAAGGGTGGACCAGAAGCTTCTGCTTCACCACTGTTTTGCTTCTGGCCTATGACCACAACGAGTTGCTGGAGGCCTGGGATGATTCTTGCTTAGATACCTATTTGTCTTAATGTCTCCAAGTCAAAAACCAGTATACCAAATAAGTGTTGCCAGCCTGCAAGGCTTTCTCAGATGAAATTCGGAAGTGGCTCAGCTCCATCCAAGATGCATTGCAAAGCAAAGGATTAATTAATTTTGATCATTTTGAGTGTTGCTAAGGACCTTTCAGACAGTTCATGCAAACGTCAGTGTCTTTGATCGCCGGAATCCTTCAATCCTGGTGGAAACCAACCGTTCCATCACCTTTGGCTCCGCAGTGCGACGGAAGCCGAACTGCTTCCAGCTAGTACATCAAATGCGTGTGCTCAGGCAATTGCACGGCGAGTCACAGGAGGAAGTAGTTTGGCATGATTATATAATAATAGGTTCTCATTCAAGATCTGACATGCAAGAACTGAGGTCATATCTTTTTATTTCCCGTATGAAACCAAAGAAAACGGGAACTGGCAGAGTACCTTCACTGGTCAGTGAGGTTTGGACGCGAGCCTCTGAGCTGGCGGATGCCTACAAGATTGGCAGAGCTGAGAGCGGCGCTGCATTCAATCTACTCCATCACATCACCCCTGGTGTCCAGGATGCGCTGGCAAGGCTTGTGATGTTCCTTTGTTTGAATTTAATCATGGAATGCTCAAAATCCTTTCTTTGCTTTGCCATCATGTGGCATCACCATAATATGGTGTGATTGCCAAGGAAGCACGGCATGGGCAAGTTCATCACCCATGACTGCATCTTCCAGGGGGTGTTCAACCGGGAGACTTGCACCGCGTCAAATGCTTTGTCGGCGTGGCAGGAACAGCTGGTCAACACAGATGAGATTTTGCTTCTGTTGTGCAAGAGGCTTGACCAGGACTTCCTGGCTACGCCCAAGAAGATGCGCAAACCATGGAACCATCAGCAAGTTGACGCTGTGAAGAGTTTGAATTCGGTGTCCTTCATTTCCTTGTTTTTTTGCTCATGGGGCTGTGGAACCCGTTTACTGCATGTTGCATTGCTCTTAAAACTTGAGTGATCTGAGGAAGGTTTGCAGCGCATTTGCGCTGCCTTCTTGGCTTGTGGTATTCAATTTAGTGCTTCTTGTCCATCGGACTTCGTCGAAGACGAGAAAGCCAATTTGCTGAAAGGGTTCCTGGGCTAGCCGCCTTAAATTAAAGGTATCAACCAACACAGCACGATGTAGAAAACAGAAGGAATAACAGCTGAGGTTTATGATGCGCCATGCGGATGGAGAGCTGCAGACATTATTGGCAGAATCAGCGCCGCCAGTGGATCTTCAACGTGTTGCGCTTTTCCGTTCTGTATGCAGGAAGCAGGAGAAAAAGGCAGGGACTCGCATGAGTCGCTTCATGATGCTGTTTGGTTTGCTCCTGGACCTTGCGCAGATTGAGATAAAAGATCATTTTGTGAGGCGGAGGAAGAAAAGGCAGCAGTGGCGGAACAGATTCTTGTCTTTACAAGCCACATTGCGTCAGAGACAGTAGTCAATGTTGTCTCCAATTTCAAGAACTGTTGCCCAGCCAAGGCTGGCGCAGGAGATGAAGCAGCAAACTCTCCAGCATACTGAGCAACAGATTGAACGTGACCTTGGGAAGTTGAAGGGGTACTTGGACAGAGCCCAGGACCATGCAAATCGCCAGGCCAGGCCGTTAGGTTTGTGCGGCTTTTTTGACAGCTCGAAAGATGTTCAGTTATTCTTTTTGCGAGTTTTCATCTGAGGGCTCGTTGGATATGCTCTACTTGGCAAGCCGCTTTCAGCGGGGCAAAGCGTGGACCGATAAGTACATGGACACGCATCATCGCTACCTGGTCAATGATGCGGTTGGCTTGGCAGATGCTCACGCAGCCCAAATTGGCTTTCAATCCAACAATCAGCACCCAGGAGATTCGTTTCTTGGCTCAAATCATATTGAAATTGCTGCTGACCAACGCTGCTGCTGCTGTGACTTAGTCGTGAGCTTGCTACTGGTCCAGGTGTCTGTTGATGGTCGTGGACGTGTCGCTTTGGCCTTCCCGTCCAGTGGCAGCAACAAAGCTTTTTGAATTAAACTGCTTTCTTATTATTGTGTGGAAATTTTAGTTTATAGGGGTCACGCCCCAAGTTTAAGGCCACCCTCTGGTGGACGAAGCCTGCGATGTTGCAAAGACTTTGACGAGCCTGAATGCGAACTCTGCCCTGCTGGTCCTCTTTCCAATTCCCCACACGGCGTGCGAGAAACACACGTGTGTGGCAAATCGGAGGTACATAGAAGACAGGCTGATGAAGTCACTCAGCAGCCTTTAAGTTATTATTCAAACTGTCAAAGTCATTCTGCTGTGAAAGCAGCAATCATTTTGTCATTTTCTCCTTGACTGACTTAAAAGCCGCAAAGTTTTGTCGTTTAGTTTCAAGTATTTTGGCTAGTTCATTAAGGCACATGGATTTGCAGGAAGTTGTTGTCCAGTACAGGGACAGTGGCCATGGGAATGATAAGAGGCGACTTGTCGTGACGGGTGCCTCGGTGTGTTGAGCAAAGTCTTGTTAACAGAAGGTCAGCAACGGGTGAGCTATTACCTTCATCAGCCTTGAGCTCAGGAGTGATTGGGATCTCTTCCATTCATTCAAAGAATGCAGCGTTCCACAGAAGCAAGGCGCACGTTTATGGTCAAATTGGGCCTGTCACCAGGGCACGCGTCTCGGAGCTCATGTCTTTCGACCCTGATCGCCCTGCAGGGCCTTCGCAACGAGTGCCTGTTCGAAAGTTAATAGTTAAGGTGTTTTGCCACCGGCATCCGCAATCTCAAGTTCTCTTCTTGAATAATGGCCTGGAACGCCATAATAGCAGTGAGGTGCAGCAGCGTGGCATCCCTGGGACGGCTGCAATTTTGGAGTCGGTGATTGAGGGAATGGACTTGGTTGACAGTCGAATGTACTTGCTGGACTTGATGCCCAATCGGCATCATTGCTGCATCCAATTTACAGTCGAATCTGCTTTCTACCAGATGTTGTGTTTAAGTCTCACCCTCTCTTACTGCAGGTACAACGAATGGGGGTTGGCAGCCTGGAGCCTCCAATGCAAATATTTGACGTCTCCAGGCGGCCACGACTGGAGGTATATGGCTTACCTCTCCGGTGAGGACGCCGAGGCCATTCACTTGCCAGAGATGAAGAACGCAGTTGTGGGAAAGATGATGAGCGTTCGGATCTTAATTTGTTAGTTGTTGGTTGCCATACACACTGACTCAGTGACTTGGTCAGAGCCAGTGGCATCAATCTGCTGGTGTCACGGTCACGCAATAATTATCCGAATCTCCTCGAGGAATATTGGGACGGGTGCGCTGCAGCGGGTGATCCAAAAAGGCCTGCAAGGGATGCCGCCTTCAGCGAAGGACTTCCCAGCTTGAAAGTTTTGGCTTTTGACGGGAAGAAAATCGCGACACTTAGTTTGAACCGTTGTTCCAGAGTTAGTTTCCACTCCCGTGGCTTGTCGTCGTGCGTCTTTAAGTTGAGATTTAGTCTGGAACTTCATCCCTCCAAGGATGCCTGGTCATGTTCAAGAAGCCTTGGGCGCCAAGGCTGAGTCATGGCAGAAGGAGATTAATGCCTTGCAGCCATCAACAACTGGAGCCGTCGTCGTGCCTGCCACCCCGCGAGCAGGTGATGCCCCGGCCCCGTCGCCTGCTCCAATCAGGACACAGTGCAGGCCAGTTTACCAAGGTGCAGACAAGCCTGTGGATGCTCAGCGGCCAGTTGAGTTTGGCAAATTGAGCAAGGAGGCTTTTGAAGTGGAAAAGAAGTTGCCTGGCAGCAAAATTAGTTTCTGCGCTGAGCTTGCAGTGTGGTGCAGTTTTTCCCTTTTGGTTATCACACGAAAAAGATTGAATGGCATGCTGTCCGCATGAGGGTATTGGCTTCGTGCGTTCCTCCTCACGCCTCTGATGGACGAGTTCAAATTGTCCTGACAGATGACACGCCGTGTCAGATTTGGTTCACGAATTTTGATGCAACTTCTGCTGAACTTGGCCCAGCAGAATTGTTTGGCTTCAACGTTGGCAGCTTCTGCGAGAAGCCTCAAGGCCTGATTGTCTTAAACTCACGTACCCCCCCGGTAGGACTTAAAGTCGTGCTTGATTGTTGCCGGCTACCATTGAGTTGCACTTGAAGTAGTAAGACGTGGTCCTTTGCCCAGGCATAGCTATGAGCTTGAAGGATCAATTGCTGCCTTTCACGATCAAGACAGACACTTCGCCACTGGTGTTGGTGCGGGGCTCTGGGAAAACTTTGACTTGCCTTGCCGAGATCTCCTGCGACTGTGCTCAAAGCCAGGGCTTGACGGAGCTTAGCATGGAAGGTCACGACTTGGAAAGCAAGAAGAAGGACCAAATGATCAGAACGATTTCTGCAGTTTCTTCATGGTAGACTTTTCAGCCCAATTAATTTTAATGCTGTTAACTTGCAGTCAGTCTTGAACCGTTTGGAGGACGATGGCGAGACAGACCCGTTCCGGTACAACCTCAAATGCCGTCCTATGGTGAGCTGCTTTGAGCCCAAAACATTGCCTAGCAGTGCAGCCAATCAAGCCTTGAGGGCATCTATGTTCGGAGCCTTCCTTGTCCTTCCTCCAAGCCAGCAGCAGGATCCAAATGCCATGAACAAGTTCGGACTTGGCAAGCTTCCCGACTCTGACAACTGCAAGATCGTGTGGGAGGCCACTGCTCGAAGTGGTCTTGTTGTCAGTCAGTCAGCCCCTCTGACTGCGATTGAATGTGTGAAATAGTAGTCTTGCAGGTGAAGCTCGAGCACACGGCCATCACCAGTGTCAAGCCGAAGTTTTGGCTGACTTGCAAGACCCATCTGAGCCCTGGCACCGCAGTTCGATTGATTTGATGGCTTGTTGGCCGACCATCGCCATCCTCTCTTGCAACCAAACACCAAAGCAGAAACTTTACAACTCTACAGTTTTGATTTCGGCGTTGTGGATGGCCAGTAGGATCAGGTTCTGATCTCCCCTTTGAAAATCACAGCCTGCAGGGCATAAAAACAAAGTCTTTGTGTCAGAGCGTGCTGCAGCTTGGAACATGGAGTTGGTTTCAAATTTCTCATGACCTGACGTGTCGTGTCTTTCTCCTTAGGCTTTTTTGCATAGTGGCCTGGCCCAAAAGTCTCACCTCCAGCAAAGCAGTGCTGGATGACGAAGATAGATATTCAAGAGCTTTCAGATGATGATGATGGTCCGTTGGTCCCAGCAGCTTGCCCTAAGCCTGACAAGCCTCCCAGTCCTGCGGAACGTCCTTCTGCCTCAAGTTCCTCTGTGCCTACTGAAGACAGGGTGCCAGCAGTGACGCCTGCACGCAAAGAGCCCAAGAAGAAGGCGAAAGCCAAAGCAAAAACAGGAAAGTCAAAGCCAAAGGCAGGAGCCAAGAGCGCCGATGATGATGGTGACACCCCGGCTTCAACTCCGTTGAAGCGCCCGGCAGCAGCTTCGGTGCCGGACGGCGACCAGGACCAGGAGCCAGCTGTTCCAGCTGAGACTGATGTTGACTCAGAGATGAAGCGTCCGGCAGCGGCACCAGCCAAGAAGCCCAAGAAATCGGAGGCCATCAAGCGGCCAGCAGCTAGCAAGCCAGCCGCGTTGAAAGCTTACAAGTACATGTACCACAAGGAGGTGAAGTTCGGAGTCAAATATGGTGGCCGTGAGATGGTGACTGTGCGGGTACTCAGTTGCATCCTGTGCTGGGACCGTAAAGCGTCTTCATGTTTCTTACCTGCCACTGCCACTATCACATTAGAATGGTCAAGCTCTTTGAGGTCCGTCGGCAAGACGGAATGTCAGAGGAAAAGCATATCGAAATCGCTGCTTCACACTCAGCGGTAGTTTTAATCACTGCATTGATTGGCCATCACCTGTTTCAGAAATTTTCCTTTTACCGTTGCTTGCAAGCCGGTCACTTAAAATCTTAGTTGCGGCGAGTCTGCTTCAAGGAAGTCCTTCGAGTGGAAGCCGAGAAAGGCAAATCCAAGGGTGATTTGCAGTCCTTGCGCGTGTTGACCTCAAGCCTGACTGGTCTGGTTCTTTGAACTGAAAAACAAAACACTGAGACTGACTTTAACCTTCGTTTTCAGTCCGTTCTTTTCTTCAGGGTGATTAACTGAAACTTAGAATAAATGTCCTGGGTCTCCGTCAGGACATGTTGCTCTCAGAATGGACAGCAGCCAATCAGGGCACCAGCCTGACTGAGCCTAGTGCTGGCGATGACGGACATCAAAAGGCAGCAGACGAAGATCAAACGGAAGACCCAGAGGAGGAACAGCCTCCTGAAGATGACAGAGATGTCGACTAACACGCTCAAGGCACTTGACGGTGCAAATGGAAAAAAGATTTGGCAGCTGTGCGTTTCACGGGCCTGCGTTTCTTCCACTGACTGGGATCAAAAGCAAATCAAACTTAAAATTTCAAATATATTAAATCTTGTCCCCTGACCATCAGATTGTGACAGTGCCTTTAAGTCACTGTGAGTGTGTGCCTGGCAGACAGTCGTGTGTGGCGTTTTTTTTTCGGGAGAATTGCTTTGAAGATTTTTGAAGACTGAATTGGTTGCTCATGAATAGCACCTAATAGGAATAATTGAGACACCAAAGGGAGATAATTTTGAAGATTGTTGGGGATTAGCATAATAATTTAATAATAATAATAATATTAGTAAATAAAATAATAGATGGGACGACGGGTCTCTGGATTTTCTTGCTGTCAGCTGGTCATGGTGAAAATTGGCTCCAGTTAATTGACAGCTGCAAAGGAGCTCCAGTTCATTCAAATTGACGCAGCCAGACTATACGTATCATTTGGTAGCGGAGGAGTTAATTCTAAATTCTAATTTGCCACCATGAACTTGAGCCCTTACGGCTAAAATGCCTTGAGAGGTCTTCTTCTTCTTCTTCTTCTTCTTCTCTATTCAATTTGAAAGGCACTTCAATTATTCCCTGCCACCAAAACCATGGGATCAACCCAGGGTCTTATACCAGCATCGTAACAATGAATGATGATGCAACACAATATCCAGCCCCAACCCCGGTTAGGAACTCCAACCCCGATTAGAGAGAAAAAATCTTGAGGATTGGACTTCAATGAGGTACGACCTTCCGCTAGAGAGGACCGCAGCTGTGGTGCATGCCCAATCTGTCCTGATGACGTCCTTCATGTTGCACAGGTGGAAGACCCATTTGTCGAGGAACCCAGATCTTCAGGATCTGTGCAAATTCGTCCGCACTGAACTCAAGGACGTGAAGATGGCACTGGACCTTCGCGATGACATCTGGGAGATGGGGGGTTACAACATCGCCAGTGCAGATCAAGGCTTGTATGAAGCAATTGAAATGAGAAACCGAACATTCTCATGCATCCACGACTACATCACCACAACTTCTACCAGCCAGGTTGCACAGGGAAGCGGTGAAGTGACTCACATCCCGCGGTGGAACGAACCATTGCAACCTAAGGATGGACGAAATCCTCCAGCACTTGGTGTACCTCCGTCATGGGACCCTCACCCAATCGTGATGATGAACGCGGCGCAGTCGGCCAGGTTTGACGAGAGCAGGCAAAGGGAAGCAGCATCACAACCACAGCCACCACCAGAAGCGAAGGCACGCCCAACCTCCCACGGAGGAGGCACGCCGACGTCTACGGGATCGGCTGGGGCGTCTGCAAAACCGCCGCCGAAAGCTCGACCAACACAGCCACCTGTGCCGCCAGATTGGGTCATTGCGCAAGTACCTAACGGATATCTTTTCAAGACGTCCACCAACCCTGACCATCGTGGATCATTGTTCACAACGTCCGCCTGGATGAACTGTCTCGACCAATTTCTTTTGTCAATCATGCAGGGACCAGCGGCGTCCGCCACTCAGATTACTGGCTGGGCACAATATCTTCGACGTGTCGCAGCATATGGTTGCATGGTCTTTGGAGTCTGCAATCCAGTGGTGGTGACGGATGATGATTCTGCGAAGATCCTTGAAAAGGACTGGCTGAAATGCTACAGTCACTTGGTCCGAACCTACGCCTTGGCGAAGACGGGATGCTATCTCTCAACAGCAAGCTTACTGATGATGCTTGGCAAGCATGACAATGAAGTCGCAAATGCATCAGGACTGGGAAGATTGAAGAAGAGCATTTAAATCCGCTTGCCTGCAAAATCATTGATTCGCCACATTCCTATCGGGAGTCTGACACGCTTGCTGGTGAATTCCGACATGGCACAACCATCCTTATCACCGACTTGATGTTTCGAGTTGGAACTCAATCAGGATGCCATGACATGGGAATGGGACTTGCTGACATGGGGTGGTCCATCGAGCTCTTCAAGATTCACGAGTCCGAAAAGGCACGACCCATCGAACAGTTCCTCAGCACCGTAGAGATGGTCATCGACTTCTTGAAGAACCAGGTGACAGACGAGGGAAATGTCACGGTCCACATTTGGCTTTCTATGCAATTTATGCATAACCAACGACCTCCTCATGACGTGTTGATCGAAAACACATTCATGTCACAATTTGTGAAAGGAGTATAATGGACCTTGATCAATCCATCTCAAGACCAGTGATTGTGGCACTCAACAACGACTCCTTATTCAATGGCATCGACTCCATCACATCAAGAATTGCCGTGGAGATGGCCGAGAAGCTGAAGGCCAAGGGAGTGATGGTTACCACGGATCACAGGATGTGGAGGTCCATGTATTCCCAATTTGGAAGGCAATTTCCAATCCTGAACACAACTCGAAAGGGATCTCTCGGAAAGACTGCCATTTGGTCGGTTATCGAGAAGAACTTGTTCAGGCAAAGAGTGTTTTTGATGTGTGCGACGAATCGGGAACATGTGTCCACCCTCAACGAGGGAGCATTTAAACCCGACCAGTCAGGCATTGATGACGCATTCTTGAGGGAAGTCACTGGACCTACGGAAGTCTTCAGAATTGCCAGCGGAGAGATGACTCGTGGGGACTACGCTTCAGCCGATGCAGCCGTGTTCCAGAAGGGTCCTGCCACTGGTTCTGCCACAACAAGGTTCAACAAGGACAAACGGTTCAAAGCTCAATGGGTCGAGCCGATGGTGCAAATCCACGAGTTGGAGCCTTCACCAACGTCTCTCTGCTACTGGTTTCCTGTATTCAGTGATAGTACTGACCTCATGTGTGACAGTTGCAGGGCGGCTCAGACCATGGATCAGATTGAGATGAACCAATTGAGGCCAACGACCTGCATCAATTGCTCGGCAAACACGCAGGATCATTACAAGAAATCCGCACCAACGTTGGGTGCCAGGAAATCTGTGTTGATGCTTGCAGCCCGATTGAAAGTGGCATTTGCTACATGCGGTGGTGTGGACCACATCGACATCAACTTGGAGTTCCACA